TCGGACAACTGTGTAACAAACAAAATGTTCGGTAGGCACCCTGAGATGGGAATACAGATATGAGCTGTACCTTCTCAACAATCTACATCTTTTGAAGCACTATTCTGTTGAGAGGCAATGAATGTCACTCTTTTGTCAAATTAAATACGACAGCGACAGTACAACATTTCCTCCAAATGTGCTCTTTTTGTTTTTGTTTGTTTTACCACAGTGAAAGCATCAAAAATGTGTCCCTGGTGAATTAGATTTTTATTATTAGAAAATAAATAAATAATGAAATGAAAAGCTAAAATTTTGCATAAGTATTTCAGAATGAAGAATAAGAATCACTACTGTACAAGACACTGCATGTGATGTAGGAGGCAGAGGAACCTGTGCTCATTCTATATTGCTTGCTGCGCATTCAGTATACGTGTTTATCCACTTCCTTTTTCTGGGGCTGGAGGTTTTCTGACATAGAAGGGAGGAGAACATCCTGAACGTGATGTGTATATTAGTCCTTTTGTTATTTTGAGGCCTGGAGAGCAGCATCATTTACAGTAAATCAGTAAGACATCTTGTTTAAATATGGATGTATTAAGGTGAGGGACAATCTCAGATTTAACCGGATATGATTTTGAGATGTACTTGATGTTGGATGTCTTTGATTCTGGTAACCACTGTGTTTCACATTGCATAGCAAAGTGTTAGTATAAAGAATAATTCATGCTGTTGCTCTTGGCTATTTGATGAAACTGAACAACTTATTGCCTTGCCATTTTGTTAATATTTTGGCATCGGTGTATGGAGTGTTGCTCTCGCTGTGATGTCTGACTGTCATATTGTCCTGCACTATGGGTGAAGAAGTATTCATAGCTTTTACTTAAATAAAAGTACAAAAGTATCCACATCAATATATACTTTCTACTACATAATGAGTACCAAAATGTTACTAATTACAGAAGGTACCTCAAAATTGTACCTGAGTACGTGATGTAGGTTTACAGTGAATTAATATTTATTTTGTCTCCTTGTCTAGGTAGACCTGTCTTCACAGTTTTGTAGGTTTGGTTACAAACTGTTATTTGTAAACATTTCCATGTATTGTTTATGTATAGTATTTTAAATAATGTATTTTTGAAAGTGCAACCCTAAAAGCTACATATGCTATATTGTATTATTTCTGTGATGAAACACCTGCAACATACAGGACAGTATACTGTATGTTGAGATTGTTTTTATGCTCTGTAAAAACTCATGTTGCACCCAAATAGCAGACAATTAGGAAGCTAGAGACAACATTATTCAATTTACCATAATATTATGATTTTTGACACTGAACTGTTGTGCAGAATATTTTCTAAATACTAAGAGCTATAGAATATTTTTGGGGGAAATTTTGAAGAATAACTTCACTGATACAATATTAAATCAGCATTTAGCCTTCCAGGGAATAGGCTGGTTATTTTTTCTCACATCGTTGTTGCTGATTGTATTTAAAAGACAATATCAAATGTGACTTTACAAGCAGCCTACAGTGCCATACAGTGATCTTATAAACTGGCATTGCTAAACAATGATGTAATAATTGCAGTAGCTGAGAAGTATAGGTGATATGCAGAACGATGGATACAGCAGCAATACTAGATATGTAGGTGTCCTCCACTTGCTACATGACATGCACCATTTATTTTAGGACTTTCAAAAACTAAAACAGCCATGTTAATTGGCACGTCTTGGTGTGGTGCCAGTTTTGCTCATGACTTACTTTGTGTCACCCGTCAGTGACTTAATTTCCTGAATTCATTTATTATGTTTATTACTAAGTTTTTGTTTCTTCTTCTTCTTCTTGCAGTGCCAGAGGGTCAGACTAGGCAGCATGAAGTATATGCTACTGCCACATTTAGGTATAGTGTGCAATTCTGATCACTTTACTGTCACTGTATCATCAGACTGATTATACATACATTATAGACAGACTGAGATGATCTCCTCTATACTTATCTAGCATTCATTTGAGGCAAGTTGTAATATTTGAGGCTTTTGAAGTTACTAAAAAGTTTACCAGTGGTTAGCCAGTTTTGTGAAATAGTCTACAGCAGCAGACATTAAAGGATGTTACTTTTTTAGATTATATTAACGTACCATTCAGATTGTTTTTAGAGTAAGTGCAAAATGAACCTGCAATGCATAGCTCAATTCTCCCAGGACGTAACAACATCTATAATTATGTTTGCTCTGTTAATGCTTAATGGTTTAAAATCACAGAGGAAACTCTTTCTTATTTAGCATCTTCACAACTTTAACAAAAATGGGTAGCACTTTATAATAACTACACACTATAAAGCATTAGTTAAGCATTAGTAAATAAAGAATTCATCATTTATAAAGCATTGTTCATACATTAATACACATTAGTAAGTCATTCATAAACACAGTTATAAATGTTTTATTCTTTGTTATCTACACACTATGAAGCAGTTGTTAAGTATTACTACATTTTTAATTCATCATTTATAAACCATTGTTCTTACGTTAATACACATTAGTAAGTCATTTATAAACATAGTTATATGTTGTATTTTTTATTAATAAGCTCATCTATCGTACTTTATACATGATTGGTTCACTATTTATGAATTAAGTATTATTTTAATGACAAACCATTTATATATGAGTTGTTAATGGTTCATAAGATCATTTGGAAAGTTTAAAAAAAATTATTACATTGGTTAACTGCCTGTTTTTTGATACTTTCCCGAGAAAGAATATAAACAATCTCAGCATAACACCTAAATCTACCAGTGGCAAAACCCAAAGGATGCTACTAATGGTGCTTTCAGACCAAAAGCGAAGCGAGTGTTCGGGGCGGTGAGTTTATATACAAAGTCAATGCAAAGACATAGAGCCGCGATTTCCTGTCGGGCAGCGCAAAGTGACGCAAGGGGGGCGGGGACGGCAACGCGAAGGAATTCGCGTGAGCTGAATATTTTCAACTCAAGTGAAGAGTTGCATGACGCTGAGTCGCAATAGCCTATCAGGCAGAGCGGGAGATTGAAAATTGCTGGCCGGCTGAGAGCTGCTAAACTTGGAGAAGAGGAGCCGGGAGCAGAGCTGCAACCATTGGACAAATAAACACCCGTAGTCGTCGGATTCTGCTCTGACAACTATGCAGTTTGCTCGCGGGAGGAGCTCAGGGTTAACTGCTTTTATTAAATTAGCTTTTTACTTTAGTTTTTTTGATTACAATGTGGATTTATCTTCGCTGGAGCTTCTCAGCAGCTAGCTTCCGTGCACATCCGGTTCCAGTGTTGTTGTTAGTGTCGTTAGCTCTGTCGGACTACGACTTCATATTTATATAAAAACCGGACAAAACTGGACATTACTTGGAGAAAAGAAAGCGAGGAGGTTGAACTACCTGGTGAGTTCAGAAAACATGTCTGTAACTTTATTCCAGCTATCATTGTACTTTACTGTGACCAAGTTAGCAAACATTTTAGAAGTTGTTGTCCTGCTGACAGACCTGACAAAGCATGAATTCATATGCTAACTAATCATGTTGTAGTTATTTCAGCATCAGTTTAATCCGTTTATTGCTATTTAATCACAGCAAAATGTTTACTTTGGGTTCATACAGTTGTAGTAATGGCGAGTTGTGTTTATTCACGTTATTGTGTTAAAATCGCCTTCTTACGTTGTGTGTGACCACTTGCAGGGAATGTACTCACACGAGGAAAGTGTCGCGAGGCGAAAATTCGCGGTCCGTCTGAAAGCACCATAAGATGCCCCAGCTAATGTTACTGGGTAAAAGCCTCACCGTGACAGGCCTGGTACCGTATCTCTGAGACAGATCATCTATCACTACCAGCTCATCAATGATGTGCTTAAAGATTGTATGATAAAAAGTGTTATTCCAATGAAAAACTATATATAAGTATTTTCTCTTTAAAGTAAGGACTATCTAGGCCATACAAAGCATTACAAATGAGATTGAAAAAAGTCTCAGTTAGGCTTATTTATCTTAAGTCTCAGCTTTATTACAGCCTGGGTTAACACCCCTGTAGTGTCGTTTTCGGACGTCTCGGCGGTCAAGTTAGCAACAATAAATGTGCAACTTCCGGTTAGGCTTTCAAAATAAAACTAGTGAATAACGTTTTGAAACAGAACGTTACTTGCGTTCCATACGCAACCGAAGAAAAAAACCTCAAAACTGACTTTGTGTTTAACACAGGAAACAAGTGAAAGTACGGTTTCGGTCAAGCCGCCCATCTCAGCCAACCAGTCTCCTCCTTACCATAGACGCTATTTTGACCATCGGCGCGTCCAATAGTCTCTGCAGTGCGCGCTCACTTTAGCGCCAGACCGCATCGAGGAAGAACCGTAGACTGTTTATAAAAAGGGAAGAACAGAGAGAAGCGGCTGAGACTGGGCCCTGAGGTGGGTCTTAAGTGTAAAAACACCATCACTCGTGATTTTTGAATGCCGTCTTTTTCCGAAGGAGTTTTTTCCCCCTGGAAACTCGGTGAGTAAAGTTTTTAACCTTTAGGAGAGAGCTAAAAGTGCCACTTTGCCACTGGTAGATTTAGGCGTTATGCTGAGATTGTTTATATTCTTTCTCGGGAAAGTATCAAAAAACAGGCAGTTATGTAATAATTTTCTTAAACTTTCCAAATGATGTTATGAACCATTAACAACTCCTATATAAATGGTTTGTCATTAAAATAATACTTCACTTATAAACAGTGAACCAATCATATATGAAGTAAGAAAATTAGCTTATTAATAAAGAATACAACACGTATAACTGTTTATAAATGACTTACTAATGTGCATTCACGTAAGAACAATGGTTTATTAAATGATGAATTAAAAATGTAGTAATACTTAACAACTGCTTCATAGTGTGTAGATAACAAAGAATAACATTTATTATGTTTATGAATGACTTACTAATGTGTATTAATGTATCAACAATGCTTTATAAATGATGATGAATTTCTTATTTACTGATGCTTAACTAATGCTTTATAGTGTGTAGTTATTACAAAGTGCTACCCAGAAAGGATTAAAGAAAATTCATCCACAGATGTAAGGCCAAATGTTCACCTCTGTCCTGTTCTGATTGATGTCAGCCAACAGATAATCAAGCAGTGCATTCCAGTTTCATCTGTTACTTCATACTCATTTAGCTGCACAACTGTCTAAATGTCACATAAAAACAGGAATTACCACATGCTCATGATGCAGATTTCAATCTTTGTTAGTGCGATCTCTGACTGACTCGTTGTTGTTGAGCGGTGGAGGCGGCGATTGCTTGCTCCTCATGCTCCTGCCGTCCGTTGCAGCCCGCGAAGTCTCTGTCACAAAAAGCCGAGTCACCCACACGGAGGTGACAATGCGTTTGTATTCGTTCCTGAAATTCCTGTTGAGTAAGCCATAGATAATGGCATTCAGACAGCTGTTGAAGTAGGCCATGAAGTAGCTGACCACAAAAAGCCACTCAGGGATACGGGGAGCCACACGGGACGGATCTATGGCCACCGCCAAGCCAATCAGGTTAAGTGGAGCCCAGCAGATGGCAAATAGCACAAAGACCACAAACATGGTGATAAAATTCCGCAAGTCACTTGGTCTGAGGCGAGGGCTCTCCTCTGTCTTCACTTTACGGCGCACCTGGATGTGATGAAAACACATAAGATATTAATTAAACTGTAAATGATGCCAGAAGGCTACCTTTTCTCCCTGCCTCTGTACACATCTTATGCACATGCAGACACAAAAAGAGACAGTGACATCCACACATACAACCACTCCAGGGATCTCGTCCATCTATCCGCCCGTCAAACTCGATATCTCAGCTGAAATCAGAGGCACTGGCTTTGCCAATTCTTTGCAGTGTTCAGTTTGGTTTAAATCTGCACTTACTGACAATTAAAGATCAACATTCTCAACTCAAATGTTATATGGCAAAAACCATTTTAATGATGGGATGATGTCTTTTGTCAGTGTATTCTGGCATTTAAAAAAATCACACAGACTCGTCCATGGGTCAATAAAGAAAGGTCAAAATTTTAAAACTTGGAATGACCATATTTTCTACACAGTTCCAATTTCGATGAACCCTGAGAGCCTAATGGTTCTTGTTATTGTTTGGCCCAAGGGACTTTTATGCTATTCAAAATGTGCCCCCCACCCCTCCAATACCTTCTGTTTGGCTGTAAAGACATAAATAACCGTGTGGGGAAACAGAGGACTGACCTGAATCACAAGTATCCAGATTCGTAGATAACAGAAGGTAACCACTGCAATGGGAACCAAGAAGTGAATCACCACCACTGCCACTGTGTAGGAACTGCTGACATTCTGGGCGAAGGTGCAGGAGTAGACCCGCGGGTCATAACGAAGGGAACCAACAAAGAAATTGGGGATAATGGCCACTATTGTGAGCACCCAAATTAAGGCAACAAACAGCAGAGTGTTGCGATAGCTGTACAGCCGACTGTAGGAGAATGAGTGACAGATGTAGCAGTATCTGTTCACTGCTATACCAGTGATGTTGAAAATGGAACCGATGACACTCAGCCCCATGAGGAAACCACTGACCTGAACAGAAAGAAAGAAAATCAAGTGTTAGAACGTGTTGGGATTAATAGAAAACTGAAACATGCTGTAACTGATGTGGTCTTACCATGCATTGAGTGTTTCCCAGTGCCCATCCGTCATGGAAGAGGGCATAGAGAACCAAGGGGTAGGGGTAGAAGGCTACCACGAGGTCAGCAAATGCCAGACTCACTACAAACACATTACCTGGAGAGGAACAAACAGAGACACAATTATCCAAAATATAGTGGATACAGTAACTTGTTATGTAATTGTGAGATGAGTCACATGTTAACACGTTCTCACTTCCATCTCATCAAATACGGCCACTTGTACAGTGGCTGTATGTTTCGACCAGTGGACGCACATTTCAAATTGTGATACTGTAGGTACCCCTCAGCATTAGTTTTGCATGTGCCACTGAGCAAGCGGCCGTATTTGGCAAGTCGGGAGAATGGGCTGGCAGGTTGTATTTTGCTGGACACACCCTAATTATACTGTTCTATTAACACTGTATTCATCGACTAATTTGACAGTGATGGTTGGGCCCCTCATCTTCTCATCTAAGCACAATGAGTTTGCCTGCATGCTCAGCCAATCAGGACAAGTACATTCCTGTACCCTGGAGGCTCATTCTGATAGAAGGCAGGAGTAGCATTTATCCACTTTTGATGGTATTACATTTACAGTGCTCACATGTTTTGCATATAAAATAACTGCATTCATATCCCGGTTTGCATGCTCTTCAAGGCTGACATTATGTTACAATATCAGTTTCGCTCCAATATTAACATGTTGATACAGTAAAGTGGTATACCTTCATGTAGACCTTTGTAGCTAGCTGCATAAACATTTATCAAATTGCTTCAATATGGAGACTAAATTGGACTGCTGCACCTACTGAGTATTGTCTTAATAGGGGCAAATACTTCTAATAGACTAGGAGCCTATCTCCGCATGTCCAGCTAGATTGTTGGCAGGGTGCCGGGCTGAGATTATATACCAAAGGTTTCTAGCCTCACAGCTGGTTGTCTCACCCCAGATAAAGTTTTATCAGGAATGGCAGAGTCACTGTGTTTTGACTGAGTAGGGGACAAGCTTGTGGACAGAGCTCTTGAGCTTTTGCAACACTGTGACATGCAGGTCCTTTTTCATCTAGCAGATCCCCAGCTTATCCAAACAGTGGTCTCTGGTTCACAAAATTCACTTGGTATGTGACATACAGTAAATTAAGCATTGTTCTAGTTTAGCACTGCTAAACTAGTTTGCTAGTTTGGCTCTTTCATTGGCTAATTCTGACTAGTAACATGCAGTCATATTCATACATTCGTACAAACAACCATTATAACTTGACACTTCCTCACTCTCCTAATGTGCCAATGCCACAGCTCCCTCCTCCACCTTAACCTCCAGGTTATGTTCTAAGCTTTTTATATTATTAACTTTACTACGATCTAATGTTGATGTATTCTTGTTAAGGGAGTGATTAGATCTAAGAGCAGAATTCTTTATTCTTTAAGAGCTCCCTCAAAGAGAGTCCCTTCTTTAACATAATGACCATTTACCACAAATAATCATTTGATACACGTGTCTCTGATTGAACCATTTTCAGGTTTTATGATCAATCAGTAGGTGGGGGAGGTGTAGAATTCGGCCATATTTTAGGCTTGTTTGTTAGCAACAACATACAAATTTTAACCAGGCAGGACACTTATTTCTTATATACAAGGACAGACTGGCAAGAGGGGAGTAACCTATTGTGGGTAGGGGGAATTGGATTCAGGTTTAGACAGACAACATTTAGTGTTAAGGAACAGACAAAGCAATATCATACAGAGGTAAAAGATTAAAAAGAGAACAAGAGAAAGTACCGACACAGTGAGGGTATAAAACAATACAGGTCAACAGACAGAATAAATTATTTTAAAATCGCAACGTTTTAAAGCCAGCTTGTATTGTTATTTTATTGTAAAGATAGTTCCAGATTTATTAGGGAGAGCATTAACAGGTTTTATGTATTGTACCTTCTAGGTCTCATATGTGGCTCACCTTGTGTTTCAGCTATACAGGCCTATGCCTGCGAGGTCATTTGCAGGGCAGCATTCGCATCCTCAATGCACAAACAACAAATACAAGTTGTTTTCCGGTATTCATCAGGGAGGACCTTTAGTACTGGAGGCACCCAGACCTGGGTGGTGGGGAAAGCCTCCTGTTTGTCATGAGACATCTCTCAGTGGGATTCGGGAAACTTGCCATGTCTTGTATTATCCATCCTCTTGAACTGTGTCAAAAGTGTGTGGTGCAAAGTGCACAGAGGCTTTATTTATAGCTATACCAAGCCGCTTCTACACATTTCTTTTTGTAACTACAGTGTGTGCACATGTGGCTTTGGTGTGTGGCTGTCAACCCAGAACTGTCACTAGACACCATGATGCACAAAGTGGAGACAGCAATTCAGCACCTCCTGTACTAGAACATCACTTCTCTCTTTTTGTGGAGAAATCACTTTGGACTCCTCTTCTCCACCATCAAAGTGTCAGAGTGCTATGGCACAGAAGGCTCTGCTCCTGATAGAAAAGAATAGATGGTATTTGACCAAACTCAGGTTCACTTTAACTGATAAGGTATTCTCCTTAAATAAGATTAAAAACAACAATGTACAAAATGTGCAACTGTACTTCTGATCCATTTGTAATTTGTCACAGCCCACTTCAAGGGAGGACAAAGAGGAGAGGACAAGACATTATTTTTTCTAAAATATTTATTTAACAAAATATAAGTAATAAACAATTGAGATATAAGCACCAGAAGTGGTGAGTGTCTGCATGTGTGTACAGTGAAGTGTAGTGAACAAAGAATATAAACACAAGGAAAACCTAACCCAAACAACAAACCTTATGCCCAGAGAGAGAGAAAGAGTGACTACTGACCACTAGCTTGTACAGTCCCCTCCAAAAGTATTGGAACGGTAAGGCAAATTCCTTTGTTTTTGTTGTTCACTGAAGACATTTGGGTTTAAGATCAAAAGATGAGTATGAGACAAGAGTTCAGAATTTCAGCTTTTATTTCCTGGTATTCAAATGTGTCAAACAACTTAGGACATACCACTGTTTGTATTAGACCACAGCATTCTTAGGTGAGAATACTAAAGTATTGGAACAAATAATCTTAAAGTAAATAACATTTAATATTTGGTGGCATAACCCTTGCTTGCAATAACTGCCACAAGCCTGCGACCCATCGACATCACCAAACTGTTGCATTCTTCATTTGTGATGCTATTCCAGGCTTTTCTTTCAGTTCTTGTTTGTTTCGGGGTGTTTCTCCCTTCAGTTTCCTCTTAAGGAGGTGAAATGCATGATCTATTGGGTTAAGGTCAGGTGATTGACTTGGCCAGTCTAAAACCTTCCACTTGTTCCCCCTGATGAAGTCCTTTGTTTCGTTGGCAGTGTGCTTTGGGTCGTTGTCCTGCTGCATGATAAACGTCCTCCCGATTAGTTTCAATGCATTTCTCTGTAAATTGGCAGACAAAATGTTTCTGTACACTTCTGAAATCATTCTGCTGCTACCATCATCAGTTACATCATCAATAAATATTAATGAGCCTGTTCCAGAAGCAGCCATGCACGCCCAAGCCATGACATTACCTCCACCATGCTTCACAGATGAGCTTGTATGCTTCGGATCATAAGCAGTTCCTTTCTTTCACCACACTTTGGCCTTTCCATCACTTTGGTAGAGATTAATTTTGGCCTCATCCAGGGGCGGACTGGTCATTGAACCAGCCAGCGGTCAGAAGTTTTTCTTTTTCAGTTTCTGGTTTAAATAACGCCAGAAGTGGGAAAGACCCAGGACGAGTGGAGAGATTATATCTCCACATTGGCCTGGGAATGCCTCAGGACCCCCCAGTCAGAGCTGGTTAATGTGGCCTGGGAAAGAGAAGTTTGGGGTCCCCTGCTGGAGCTGCAGCCCCCGCTGCTGCTGAAATCTGATTGGCTCAACAGGGCCAATCAAAGAAGTTTCCTTTCTAACTGGAGCGAGTTTCATCTCCAAACGTTTTATCGGGGCTGAAGTCAGCGCTGGGCTATATGATAAGCTCAACAGAGACAGTAGCCTAAATGTGGAGAAGAGTGAATAAGGAAAAAGAAATGTGTGATGCCAAAAAAATAAGAATTAAGTAGACAAAATGTTGGCATAAGAGGCAGCTAAATTTGCCCAATTAACCGAGGAATTTCTGTGTCTTTATGTATATTAGCTATTGAGGTCAGTGGAGGTGATGCAGAGGGACAGGGTGATGATGACCGCAGTCATGTTAATGAGGAGGGAGAGAAGAAAGATGAGGAGCAGCAGGAGGAGAAGGAGGAGGACAGGGAAGAGAAGCAGCAGGAGGAGAAGGTAAATGAAACCAGACAAAACAGTGACAGGAACAGGGACAGTGTGTTTTTAGAATTGGAGAATGGATTATTGTAAGTCATGTTTTTTACTGATGTTCTTCTCGTGCATATGTAGCTGTACAATCAGTAAAAGCAGAGTCAGGGTCCAGCACAGGGGAAGCTGGGCGAGAGAGATGCCTACTCAGTGCTGAAGCTGAGGGATTTGATTTCTATGCACACATACACACTGCTGTATTTTATGGGAATGTATTGTAGTTTCTTAGTATATTATAATAATAATAATATTTTAGCACTCTGCCTGACCTGGTCTTGTTCAGTGCAGAGCTGAGGCAGGTGTCATCCTGAAGTTTCTTGAAGGTCTTCAGCGTAATCTGATTCACTATATACAACAAAAACACTAATATGTATTAAAATAACTGCAAAAAAAGTTATGCCCACCCCCAAAAGGGCGCTCGCATAAAAGGCCTCTCCGTCTCAAAGTCCCGGGCTGAATTTCAGTCCCAGTACATCCCTGGTCTCATCAGTCCATAAGATTGTGTTGCAGAACTTTTGCGGCTCATCTCTGTACTTCTTTGCAAATTTCAATCTGATTCTTCCTGCTGATGAGTGGTTTGCATCTTGTGGTGTGGCCTCTATATTTCTGCTCTCTGAGTCTTCTTCCAACAGTAGATTTTGATACCTTCACCCCTGCACTGTGGAGGTCGTTGGTGATGTCACTTACTGATGTTTTGAGGGTTTTCTTCACAGCTCTCATGATATTTCTTCAGTAGTCTCCAACTACTGTTGTCTTCCTTGGCCGACCTGTTCGACGTC